GTACCGTGGCCGTGGTGCAGCTGCCCCGGGGGCCCAGCTCGCCCTCTCCCATGCCCGCGCCCCGCTGCTACCTGTTCAACTGCACAGCGCGGGGCCGCAGCGTCTGCAAGTTCGCGCCGCTCCGGGGGTACCGTACTTACACTCTCAGCCGCACCGGGGACACCGTCGGGGTCTCGCCCGGACCGGGTAAGCTCCCCGAGAGTCTCGCCGACCAGGCATTTGCTGCCAGGCATGCAAAATCCTTTGCTTCCGGAGGACTGTAGCTGCGGAAAGCAGCTCACATTTCTCAGACTTAGGGATGGGGGCTGAGAAAGTCCAGACGATGGGCAGAAGCAGGTGTGGTGGGCTGTCTCTACAGGGAATCTCAAGTAGGAGGTCGATGGCTGATCCTGAGAGGACTGGCGGAAATTCTGTTTAAGAGGGTATTTCGGAGCTTCGTTTCCCCAGTAATGATTATTTTAGTTTTATTTCGTCTCATAGGTTTTATAAAGCGGGTTTTACCGCAGGAAATAGCAAGGACAAGATTTGATTAGATGCAAAATTGTCCCTAGCACCTACCGCCTGCTTCCTGGTTTGGCTGTCTGCCTGTACATACTTCCTTGAGACAAAAAAAAAAAAAAAAAAAGAAAAAGAAAAGAAAGAAAACTTGTCACTCTGCCTCCACTCTCTTCTTCTTCTTCCACCCCTTCCCTACCAATGTTCCTACATTCACGACCTTTTTGGTTTTGACCCGAGTTTAAGCAGGGCCAGCCATGCGCCGAGGGGTTTGGTAGAGTGTATTGGTGCCTGCCGGGTTGAGCGCTAGGTAGAGTGGATACTGTGTATAAAACATATCTCTTTAAAAGACCTCAACAGCTTGTGGATTCTGTGGTTTTATAAAATGCAGGTGCTGGGGGTGGGGGGAAGTATCAGAGAAACAAAATCCCTTCCCCAGGTTCTTTGTGCTCATCTGGAAGAAACTTGTCATTGCTACGAGAGCTTTTCTTAAAGCCAGGGAAAGAAAAGTCAACAAGATTAAGAGTAAGACAGGAAACAACAGCGCCCCCCCTTCTTTATCCTTCCCTTCTCTAGAGTTTGCCACGACCACTGCCATGGCCTCCTCTCTGGAGAGCACTGACAAGCACAGACTTCTTCAGGTCTTCAGCAACATGGGGATGCTGAAGGTGCAGCCTAGGCTCACAGGCTTCCATTTGTGGGCCCTGTATGGAGGGCAAAGGATGTTTTACAGAACCCTTTGAGTTCTTCATGTTTCTAAGACTACTTCAGCTTTCCTTTCTGGCTTATTACTATTTCTTCCCCTCGTTTCTTGTGATTCTCGTGAGTGTGTGGAGTTAGAGGCTAAAGAGTCAAAGTGATTTAGCCAAGCTCTTTGTACGGAGTTGTGACCCGTCCATTTGGGGTGTGTTAAAGGCTCAGGAAGACATGGGGGAAGGCTGGATGGCATAGGACAGAATAGATTTATAGCATTACCCATCAGCCAGTATATATTGGTCACACTGGTTGAGTTTGATGTTAAAAGCTATTTTGAGCTCTTTACACACTTGAACTCACTCTGTCCTCACAACAAAGGCTCAAAGGTCAAATCCTGTTAATGTGAAAAGCTGACCTGGAAAGCAACTTGCCTGAGGGCCTCTCAGCTAGTAGTTTGCTGAGCTGAGCTGAGCTGCGTTCAGTGTTCAGCTTTACTCAGTGCTCTTTCTCGAAGCCCCTGAGGGTCTGTCACCAACAGCTGGGCTAATGAGGTAGTTGTCAGGGATGGTGGGAGGATACAAAAATGAGTGTGGAGATACTTGATGTGCCAGAACCTACCTGCTAGAACATCTGAGAAAGGGCAAAATGCTTGAAGTCCTGAGTCCTAGGGTTTGAGTCTAGACTTCTCCCATCCCCAGTTAATCATCTTGGGACTTGATTTGTGCCTTGCTGTGTTCTAGCCTAGACTGTCATAATGACCAAGAGTGGACTTCCTTGTGAGTTATTGAGGTGATAAAGGTTTGTGTGGTATAGTTACTTACTTGGCTGGCTGGTGTGACTGAAAGACAGATCAAGAAAAGAGGGCTGTGGGGTGGAAGCCAAAATCCTTAGGATCTTTAAGGAGCTGAGAATATAATCTTCCAGTATCCAGGGGTCAGAAACTTTGTGCTGTTTGGGCGGTCTAGCCTGAAACCCAGTATCTCTGTGTAGAGCTTGGAAAGGCAACCCTTCCCATGCTAGAGAATCCAAAGCCCTAAGGTGGAATTCTGCTGTCTTCAAAGCAGGCCTCCCTCTGTTGCCTGTGCTCAAGCACAAAGCAAGGACTGACCTTCTTGTTCAGGGCTGATCCTGTGCCCACAGCTGACTCATCTCCAAGGATCTGACTCACATTTTCATCTTCTCTGTTTGGCATTAGGAGCAATCATTTATAGTTCATAAATAATACTAAGACTATTTGTTGGCAATGTTGGAGAAAATGCACTGAGACTTACAACTCTGACCACACACAAATCCCAGATGTCTATTTATTTATGTTTATATCTTGTATTTACTTGGTGTGTTTCCGGTCATGTCAACCATAGCATGTGTGTGGAAGACAGAGAGAGATCTGTAGGAAATTGGTTCTCTCCTTACACTGTGTGTGTCTTAGAGGTTGAATTCAAGTCATCAAAGTTGGCAGCCAGTGCCCTTATTTACTGATTCATCTCGCTGGCCCTATGTACACATGTATTCTAAAATAAAACCACAATCTACTCCATACATAGGAAAACTGAAAGCTAAGTTACCTGTTTGGAAGGAAGATGTCTTCAAATCAATTAAGTAGATCCTAAAGGAAAGATAGATTTTGTATAAACTCATATAAATTTCATGTCAATAAATAACGGATTATGAACAAGAGTCTAGGAAACATGACCTTAAAATATTAACAGAGCTGAGAGTTCTGTTCAAAAATAAATGAGCAAAGGATTTGAGTAAACAGTTCCCTGGAGAGGAAATATGTTTGATAAGCAACATGGGAAATATCCAACATTAAAGACAGTCAGAGACTGTGTGAATAGCTTTTCAGCCAAACACTTAGCTAGCATATTTGAGGGTCTAGGTGCAATTCCCAGTACCACCAAAAAGACAGGGGTGGGGTGGGGTGGGAGGGAGTTGGGGGATCAAATGTAAATGTCAGCTTACAATAACTAAATTGTTAAAAAAATATTTTTAACTTGGCATGCATGTGGGAAACTATATACTCATGGTTATTGACAGTGTAAATTGGTACCAATCTCTTGGAAACCTATTAGGAAATAATTTATTGGAGATTTAAAATACCCGTTCTTTTGGAATAGGGATTCTTAACCTTCCTAATGCTGTGACCCTTTAATATAGTTCCTTAGGCTGTGGTGACCCCACCATCACCACCATAAAATTATTTTTATTGCTACTTCAAAACTAATATGAATCATAATGTAAATATATTTTAGAGATAGAGGTTTGTTGAAGGGGTCTCCACGCACAGGTTGAGAAGCACTGTTTTAGGATTTTTTTTTAAAGGAGTAACAGTATGCACAAAAACAATGTTATTGTGGCATTGTTTATAGTGATAGAGTTGGTGACAAATGTCAAATTTTAGGGGAGAAGAAATAAAAATGGGTGCAGGAAGGGTGGCTCTGTGGCTGGATACAGGCTCTGAGTTTGATCCCCAGAAATCCAAAAGAAGAAGTCAAAATGGAAGTTGTGGAGTTTACGTAATTTCATTGACATTGATAAGATGTCTGAATAAATTTTAATGGGTGGAATAGAGCAATGCATTAGCGGCTTCAACTCTATAAATTATTAAGGTAATGAAAAAGTGTAGCGGAAGCAGCCTGTGACTTAGAAGCATTGGATGTAAGTTTACCACTTGCATGTGACGTCAGTCACCCGACTCAGCTTCTCTGAGCCCATGTCTGCCACTCGTAATGCCTGCTTCAGGTTGACAGTGGATGCCAAGTGAGGTGAGGCCCATGGAGCACTCAGCATGCTTCGTGGTGCAAAGAACTCACCAGTAAATGGTGGCAGTTGTAACTATATAAATACAGTTGCATGTGATCATGAGTATCAATCACATGGGGAAAAAAACGGACTCCACATACTGACTATAATGAGAATCCTACTGGAATTGTAGGTATGTTTTCTTTCTTTCCTTTCTTTCTTTTCCCCTTATTTTCACATTCCATCTTCCTTCCTTCCTTCCTTTCTTTTCTGGAATGATGGAATTTAAAACAATAAATGATTGATTCTCCATCCCAAGAAAGAAACCCAAGCAAACAAAACACAGCCAGCTTTCTTCCATGTATTTACCTCTTCCCTTTAGCCCCAAGTCACTATCTCGTCTTGCAGGTCCTTTTTTATTTCTTAGTCGATCTGTGGCCTTTGCACCACCTGGCACAGATTCAGAACATCTTGTCAGGAAGGGTCCATTCACACTGGTGTGTTGTGAATGAGGCCAGCTAACATTATTGTTCTCTAGATTAAATCCCACCTTGAAACATACCGTCTCAGTTGCTCTGAGTCTTGTTTAGCCTCTGTTTTACCAGCTGTGTTTAGTTTCCAAGGGAAATCAATGTTTCCATAGGATGTGACATGGTCAATTACATGTTTATAATGGAAATTCAAAATCAACATTTATCTTGCTCTTGCTGAGTGCTGCCCTTTGTTTGCTTCCAGGAGTGTTTCCATGTAGATAAGCTCTGGTTTGTTTCAAAATACATTTTACAGTATAATTGGCCTGGACTGGAACTGAGGGGGAATTGTTATCTCAGAGGTCATCAGAGGTTAAGTTAGGATTTGGAGGCTTCCCTGGCCTCAGAAATCACATCTCTGGCCCACTTAAACAAGTCAGTGACTATGATGACTTTCCTTGAGGGGAGGCAGGATTAATTTGTTTCATGACAAGCAAAATAATTCAGTGCTTTCCTGACCCTTCCATGTAAAACTTTAAAAGGTTTTTAAAAAATATTATTGGGGGCTGGAGAGATGGCTCAGCAGTTAAGAGCACTGGCTGCTCTTCCAGAGGACCCAGGTTCAATTCCCAGCACCCACATGGCAGCTCACAACTGTCTGTAACTCCATTTCCAGGGGATCTGACACACTCACATAGACACACATGCAGGCAAAACAGCAATGCACAGAGAATAAAAATAAATCATTAAAAAGTTTTAAATATGTTATTAGTTTTCTATAGCTACTGAGAACAGCCGGCACTCCATACTTCCTCTCCACAAGCTAAAAAATTCCCTGTCAGAACAAATTGCTGGTTTATTGTTTGGTGTATAAAGGGGACACGATGGAAGTTAACCGGAAGATAGATTTCCATTGGTATTTATTCCTTTTGAGGTTTTTTTTTTTTTTTTATGGACTAATCTGGTCTGCAAACAAGGTAACTGCTCTCTTGGTGGGCTGGGAATCCGGGAGTCATGCCTCTGCGGTCTGCTCTTTTTCACAGGTGAGGATGAGCCTCCACTTAGCAAGGCCGGGAAGGATGTGGTCTTGCATCTGCCCACAGATGGGGTGATTCTGGATGGCCGAGAAAGCACAGATGACCACGCTATTGTCCATTATGAGTGGACGTTGAAGCAGGGTGACCCGTCAGTGGACATGAAGGTGATTCATGTGATTCTTTTGGGGGCGGGGGTTCAAAACAGGGTTTCTCTGTGTGGCTCTGGTTGTCCTGGGAACTCTATAGATCAGGCTAACCTCGAATTGACAGAGATCCGCCTGCCTCTGCCTCCTGAGTGTTGGGACAAAAGGAGTGTGCCGCCAACACCTGGCAATTCATGTCATTCTTGCTAACAAAAACTGGTGTTTCTGGGAAGTGGATTTCTGTAATGTCCTTCATATTTCCTGAATGCCTGTGAACAGGCAGAGCATGCATAATATGGAGAAATTATAAAATCAATTATCCTAAAAATGATTTATTCTATAAACTCCCTTTTGTGCTTAATAAACAGTCTCGATCATTTGCTTTGAAGCTTGACAGGGTCCTGCTCCTTCAGCTCCAGGAGAAAGACTTACATTGTGTTTCAATAATTCTGGTTATTTTTTAAAAGGCTTTCTTTTTTAGTAGAAGATTTGGGTAGTGTCCAAGTGTGATGGCACATGCCTGTAATTACAGTACTCAAGGAGTTGTGAGACAGGAGGATCACAAGTTCAAGGCCAGTCTGGACTACATCACAAGTGAATAGAAAGAGAGAGCTAATAATAGAATATTATCATGTAAAGAATTCTCCTTCTCCTTTTCCTCCTTTTTATTTTATTTTATTTTATTTTATTTTATTTTATTTTTTTGAGACAGGGTCTCTCTGTGTAGCCCTGGTTGTCATGAAACTCTCTGAAAACCAGGCTGGCCTTGAACTCAAAGAGATCTGCCTGTCTCTGCCTTCCAAGTGCTGTGATTTAAGGTGTGTAACATCACTGCCTGGCTTAGTTCCTCATGTTGTGGTGACCCCCAACCATAGAATTATTCTGTTGCTACTTCCTAACTGTAATTTTGCTACTGTTGTGAATGGTAATATAAATAGCTAACATGCAGGATAACTGATATCCAAAGGGGTATCAACGCAGAGGTTGAGAACCAGTGTCCTAGAGCACTGTTAATCAGCTCCATCTGTACCTTACTATGAACTGGCACTAGGTCTTCCCTTTGGAAAGTGCCGATCAAATCTTTTTTATTCTGTATAAAAGCTCTTGTACTGATTTTTGTCCATCTACCGTCTAACCTGATATGGATTTTCTTTTCTTTCTTACTTTTTTAAATGTGCATTGGCGTTTTGCCATGTGTGTTGGGTCCCCTGGAACAGGAGGTATAGGTGGTTCTGAGCTGCCCTGTGGGTGCTGGGAATTGAACCTGGGTCCTCTGGAAGACCAGCCAGTCCTCTTAACCATTAAGCCATCTCTCCACCCCTGGATTTTCTTAGATGTGTATCTTTCACACATCTGAAACCCATAAAGGAATTCTTCCTGCATGCTGTGGTTTCTTCTGACCCTCTGCTCTCTCCTGTGATCTGAACACTTGTCTCAACACCTGTTGATGAAGCTAATGGCATGCACTGTTTGCAACTGTGTCATATGATAGTTTCTGGCTGAGCCTTCTGTTAGCAAGTTTCCCTACCACCTGCTTCATCTTTCCACATGACTGCCGCCATCGTGGCATCACCTCTCCTGTGTTAGTGTAAGTGGCTGACTGAACCTGTGCAGGACTTCCTTCCTGTTTGTCCTCCTTATGTCTCAGCTTTTTGGTTAATTTGTACATCAGAAGTAATTTTTTCTTTTCTTTTTTACCAAACAGGCTTTCTCTGTGTAGTTTCAGCTGTCCTCACTCTATAGACCAGGGTGGTCTCAAACTCAGAGACCTGCCTGCCTCTGCCTCTCCAGTGCTGGGATTAAAGGCATGCACCACCAACAGCCAGCTTATATATCATTTCTAAGGAGAAAGGAGGAGCCAATGATTTGTTGTGGGGGTAGGGGAGAAGTGTACATGTTCATGTGTGTTCCCAGGCCCTGTACTCAGCTCTCTTCCCTAAACATGTCTGTATGACAGGTGCCTCAGCCAGGAACCCTGAAACTGTCCCACCTGAAGGAAGGAGTGTACATCTTCCAGCTGACTGTGACTGACACAGTGGGCCAGAGAAGCTCTGACAATGTGTCTGTGAGTGTGCTTCCCAGGACCTACTCCATGGGAGGTGAGAAGAAAGTCCTTCCATTGAGTTCCCCATGGCCAGCCAAATTCCACCATTCATAGAAGGCTGATGTCTGTGGGATTTTACATCCTGGAGACATCCAAGTTCACAGCATTTCATGGGCTCTTCCATCTTATTTTTGGTGCATGAAGTTTTTGCTAACAATATAATAGCAAACATGGGCTCTATATTTAGGACAATTTGGCCCCACGGGTTAGAATGTAGAGATGATTCTCACAGCTTAGCTAGTCGGTCCTGTGTGCTGGCCTCTTTTGACCTTGTCCAAGACAGTGCCCAGCTTGTCTAGGAGAGGATTTTGTGTAAGGACAGAGGGTCTTTCTTGTATGTGTATTTGAAGTGTGCAACTAAAGCGTACAGTTTAAGCAGTCCAGCCAATGAGAGAAGAGGGCAGAATGGTGGTCACTAACCCTGGAGTCATTTGTGTAGGAAATGTTTGTCAAAATCCCAGTTAAAAAGAAGGAGTGAGTTTTAGGGACCTCTCCTGTAGAGCATGGGCCATGACTGATAGGAACATACGTTCCAGAATTGCCAAGGACTAAGCTTAAATGTCCTCACCACAAGAAATTAGTAGGTAAGTGATGAATTTATTAATTGACTTGATATAATCTTTCTACAATACATGCATATACCAAACATACTGTTGTATACCTTATATCTATATACTATTATTGTCCATCAATTAAAAATAAAATATGGGGTGCAAGGAGGAAAAGCATATCATAGGGTAGAATGAAGACTTTACTAATCAGTAGTTCCTATAATAAATTGTTTAAGAAATATAAGAATGAAAAATGTGTGGTTAGTGAGTACAAGTAGACAAATACTTGAGAGACATGAGTCAGTTGAAAAGCCTCACTCAAAAATTTTCACAGAAGCCGGGTAAAATGATGCACGCCTTTGATCCCAGCACTCAGGAGGCAAAGGCAGGTGGATCTCTCTGAGTTCCAGGACAGCCTGGTCTAAACAGAGAGACCCTATCTTGAAAAAAAAACAAACAAGAAACAACAACAAAGGAGTGAGTGTGGTGCAATTCCTACCAGATCACTTACTGGTTCAATTAGAGAGTGTGCCATGAAGTCACGTATGAAATACCGTGCATAAACAGTGGAAATCAGAGGTGGGGGCATAAACAGGTGTGTCTGTCTCCTTTACACACACACACACACACACACACACACACACACACACACACACATTATAACCTGGTTCAGTTTTTTTTTAATATATTGACATTTCTAACACCTTTAAATGCTCAGGATGGGGTGGGGTCGGGGGCGGGATGACCATCTATTCAGACAGCAGGCTGGAGAGCACTTCAGTATGAGCTAGAACAGTGGTTTCAAACAAGGACAAACCCCGCCCGATGCTGAAGACATTTTTAGGGCAGAGAAATACGACACTTTGATTTTTATTTATTTTCAATCTTCTGGAAATTTTCAGTGTATTTGGGAAGGTATTGATGTCTTGTGCTCTGTGTGTGCATGTGTGTACATGCAGTGTGTGTTCCTGCTCTTCACGGGTATGTGTGAAGGTCAGAGACGTTGCAGGAAGTTGGTCCTCTCTTCTCAGTATGAGGGTTCCTGGGATTGCCCTCATGTGTTCAGGCTTGGTAACAAGCACCTTCACCCATCAGTCGTCCTGCAGCCCTCTTGGGTACAGAGTCTCAGAACAGGAGTGCATGCACATTATTTATGAGTCAATTACAGATGTTCAGTAAGACACTTAGAAAGTTTGGAGACGACTATTTCAGAAAAAATATAAATTATAAGTGCAGATCTGTCTTTTAAAACTACACATAAGGAAAGCCCTATAATCCTGGGTTTTCCTGTCACATGTATAAGGTTGCTTGGTTACGGCCCCCTCATTTCCGTTTGCTCCACCTGGTGGCTGTTGCTGACTCTGCAGGCCTAAGTTTCTGTGGGGTGGAGGATCTGAACTGCTCAGCGCATTGTTTTTTTTCGTGTGTGTGTGTGTGTGTGTGTGTGTGTGTGTGTGTG